AATTCCTCGTTCTGGTGCTTATTTGACGTGTTGAGCCCATCGATACAAGTCTCCTCATCGTCTCGTTGGAGCAAGTGATGTCGATCGTAATCAGTTCCTCTCCCTGCTGTGGCCCCATCGGCCTCTAGTGGGGACATGGTTTGAAGAGGAGGTTCGGTGCCTGGCTGAAAAAGTGGCGGAAGGCCATGCGTAAATGTTAAATGACAGGAAGTGTCTATCCGTTAGGCAGTTCTCTCCTTGTATTTTGTCCGACACTTCCATGCTTTGCTCGTCTTGTGGGATGTTTCAGGCCCTTCACCATGTTCACGAGTGCATGAGTTACAATTCAAATGTGCCGAACTTGCTTGTGCTCGCTGGGCACCTGCCCCTCGTGCAACCTCCGCCACGTTATTCAAAATTTCAAATTTGCCCCGAGGTCCAGGCGCTTGAAGGTGCTCTCTTTCTAGGTTAACAGGCCGTGCACGTTTTGATATGTCCATACTATTTTTGAAACTTCATGATGTACAGTCTACCATTCTCTAAGGACACTGAAGCTGGTGCAAAGTTGCGTCTTTGCATTATCCCGTCGAGTTTTCACGCTCGAATTGCTTTTCATTCAACAACCACCAAAAGTGTCTAATTTTGCATTATCACTGTCGCCTGTATGGCAAAAGGAGGAGAGAAGGTCGACAAGTAGAGGACGTTGAGTAAGCATTTTAAGTAAAAAAACACAAGGTCGACGCCCGAGAGGTTCCTCGTCATCCTCATTTTCGATTTTACAAATTTTAGTTATCATTAAAACCCAAACTTTTGACTTCTACAATAGTAATTATCACAAGAGAGGTAGCTTTCAAACGCTGGAAAACTAAGATCAATTTTGGTCGTCGTATAAATTCATGAAGAAAAATGGAGAAATTAGAGCAATTTCGAAATAATGGTAGCTTGGCACAGAGGGTACGTACAGCTTACACTACGCGTATAAACCTTTATATCTTTCCACGTGCTATTTCTGTTCAGAGGTTCAACAAGACTTTATTCGTCCTACAATCGTATAGAAGTGTTTTGTATTGTTTACTTTTGTGAATTCACATTCCAAAGGGTTGATAGCTGAACTGTCAATAATAGATGGAATGTCTCGCTTTGCGCAGAAGGCAATACAAGAAAGTCCTGTACCCTGAAATGACGATTTGAACAGTGCTTATGTGAGAGTGAGTCCCTCGTCCCTATAAACGCACCTAAAACCAGATGACTGCCGATAAGCTTATATATTTTCCATCTGCATTTGTGGGGGTAATAGTGATTGTGTGGTTTCCTGGCTCCAATTGATGTTTTGTGGCCCAGCAGGGTGCTCGAATTGTGTGAGTCAAGTAAAAACTGTCTTCCAATTCGAAAGGTGAGTCTTTACCATCGACGAGAACGCTGGAATTGCGGCCTATAGGAGCTTGATTCTGTCCGCTTCCCGGCGGCTGGCAAAATAGCATGTGGTGCTTTTTATGCGTTTTCACTCCCAGCACTAAAGGCCCTGCATACTTGTTGCCCTGAAGCACGTATTTCATATCTAAGTATTGAGCACCACGGTTTCGGGCATTTACGACAGCATTCTGATCATAGGTAATAAGTTGTGTGTGCCACACACTGTTGTTTTGAGACTCTATCGTTGGCTTTGCCGTCTTCGGCTCCGGCGGGGAGACGACGAGTTCTAAGAGTGACCCTTGAGCGATCGGCTCAAAGGTCATGGCGCATGAAGCTGGAGACCCGCAAAAGAAGTCATCACAATACAACGGGGGTGGAAGCTTGAATTCGTTCACAGTCGGGTCTTGCTCAAGTGGAGTCGTCGTTTCCAAAAGCGTTTCCAATTTAAGCATGGTATTCTCTCCATTTAATGCTGCCAGCACTGATATGATGGCTTCGTCCAGTAATCTCAGATAGTGGTGTGCCAATATCTGAGCCCGAAGCAAGTGTCCACCCGGACCTGGATGCCATTTCGCAGGTTTTGGCGTCGATTTTCCAACCTGGACCAAAGCATGAAAGTTGA